GGCAGAAATCTAATTTCCAGAGTTGTCACATTATATATTTAAATGTCCAGTTTTCAATAAAATATATTATATGTGCAAGGAAATAATAAAGTATGACTCATAATAGGGGAATATTTAGTTAATAGAAACTGTCTTTAGGGAAGCTCAGGTGTTGGACATACTAGATAAAGACTAACTATTTTGAATATATTCAAAGAACTAAAGGAAATCATGTCTAAGGAATTAAAGAAAGTATGAGAATGATGTCTCACTAAATAGAGAATATCAATAAAGAGATAGAAATTATTAAAAATAACCAAATATAAATTCTAGAATAAAATAATACAATAACAGAGATGAAAAAAACCACTAGAGGAGCTAAACAGCAGATTGAGCAGTCATAGAAAGAATGATTGCCTTTGAAAATAGGCCAATAGAGATCATATAGTTTGAGGAGCAGAAAGAGAAAAGAATGAAGAATAAAGGAACAGAGTGTCAGAGACCTGTAGAATACCCTCAAGAGTACCAACACAAACAAAATGGAAGTTCCAGAAGGAGAGAAGAGAAATGGGCTATAGGAATATTTGAAGAAATAATGTCTTAAAAAATGCCAGAATATTAATCTACACATCAAGAAACTCAACAAACCCAAAGTAGGATAAACTCAGAAATTATGGGATCATAAACTATTAAAAGCCAAAGACAATGAAAGAATCTTGAGAGCAACAAGAGAGAAGTGACTCGCAATGTGCAAGGGGTACTCATTGAAACAAATAGCAGATTTCTCATCAGTAGAGGGCAGGAGGCAGTGGGGATGATATTCAAAATACTGGGGAAAAAAAGACTATCAAGAATTCTATATCCAATAAGTATCCTCCAAAAATGAAAGAGAAATTAAGACATTTTCAGATAAACAAAAATGAGAGGCTTTATGACCAGCAGATGTGTTCTACAAGAAATAATAAAGTCCTTCAACCTGAAATGAAATGGCTCTGGACAGTGACTTGAATTCACATAACAAAATCAAGAGCTCTGATAAAGGAACTACATAGGTAACTATAAAAGACAATATTTACATATTTTTATAACTCGATTTCCCTCCTACCTGATTTAAAAGGGGTCTCCATAAAGCAGGAATCATAAATCTGTGTTGATGGGTATGCAATGTGTAAAGACATAATTTATATGGTAATAACAACACAGTGGAGGAGGAGGAAACAGAGCTATACAGGAGCAAAGTACTTGTGCAGTGGTGTAATTACATTGGTGTTAATCTGAAGTATATTCTTATAACTTATTCATTACAGTTATTAATTACACTCTCCAGGGAAACCAGTAACTAAAAAATGTAGTAAAAGAAGCAACAATAGAATTAAAATTGAAAATGATAAAATATCTATATAGCACAAAAAGGCGGTAATGGAAAAATAAAGATATAGAAAGGACAGGACATATAGAAAACAAATAGCAAAACAGAAGATGTAAATTCTACCTTATCAGTAATTACATAAAAAAGAAATGGTTTAGAATGCCAATTAAAAGGCAGAGGTTCACAGAATGGATAAAAAGACATGATCCAAATATATTTTGTGTACAAGAGACATACTTTAGGTTCAAAGAAATAAGTGGAAGGTGATGGTATGGAAAAATATATACCATGCCAACAGTAAGCAAAGAAAAGCTGAAGTGGCTATACGTCATCTAATATAACAAAACAGACTTGAATACATAGTTTTTGACTGGGGGCCAAAACGAACATTTTATAATGATGAAATAGTCAATTAATCAAGATATAATAATTCTAGACATATGTGCAGCTCACAACTGGGCCCCAGAATACATGTATATTATTGGCACAATAGAAAGGTTACACAGACAATTCATCAATAATAGTTGGAGGCTTCAATATCCCACATTCAATATGGTTAGACAGCTAACCAGGACTTCGATGAGGAAGCAGAAGACTTAATGCTGTAAATCATAACACCTAACATATCTGCAGAGCACTGCATTCAACAACAGCAGAAGATATATTCCTCTCTAGTGCACATGGAACTTTCTCCAGATTAGACCATAAAATCTAAGCCATAAAATAAGACTCAATAACTTTAAAAGTATGTATCATGCAAAGTATGTTCTCTGACTGGTGTAGTGAAATTAAAAATCATGACAGGAAGAAATTTGGGAAATTCGCCAAGATGTGGAAATTAAACAACATACCCCCGAGTCACTAATGGGTCAAAGAGGAAATCATGAGGGGAATTAGAAAATACTTTGAGATGAATGAAAATGAGAACATACCATATCATAACCTATGGGATGCATTTAAATCAGTGCTTAGTGGGAATGTTATAGCTATAAATATCTACATCAATAAACATAGAAAGAAATCTATAGCCTAGCCTTCACTGTAAGACAAGGGAAAAGAAGAGCAAAATAAAAGCAAAGCAAACAGAAGGAGTGAAATAACAAGGATTAGAGCAGAAACAAGTGAATTAGAGAATAGAGACTAGAAAAGCAACAAAACTAAAAGTGAAAATATCGTGAAGTGACAAACCTTTGGCTAGGTTGACTGAAAAGAGATGGAAGACTCAACTTACTAAAATCATGAATGAAAGTGGGGACATTACCACCAACCTTACATAAA